TCAGTTCTGGTTAGTACAGATGTTTCCTGTTGGTTTTCCCACCTCATGTTTTTCCTGAGACCATAGCTGTTCCAAAACCTAGTGAGCTGCCTAGTGATTATAGCTACCTCAGGAGTTTATTTGAAAGCAACTTCACACTACACACACACACACACACACACACACACACAGTCCTCCTCTAATTAAAGTAATAGTCCCCCCCTCAGCAAAAAATGCTGAAAATGTACCCCCCCCCCCCAGGATGTAGATGAGTGTTTCTTCATCTGAATTTTAGCATCACTTGCTCATCAGTGGATTCTCTGCAGTGAATGGGTGCCATCAGACATCATCACAATCCACAAGTAATCACTTAACATCCTGTGAAAAGATACACCCGTGCACTGCAGAGGATCCATTGGTGAGCAAGCCATTTCTCCAAATTTGCTCCGATTAAGAAACAAATGAATCTACATCCTTGATGGCCTGAGGGGGACTATAGAATTTCCCTTAGCTATTTGTGATAGTGCACAAATATTCAGAACAGTTGTTGTTTTATTATTTTTGCTAATTAGCTAGTTTTAGAACAGTGCTTATAATATGAGAACAATATCTTTCATATTTTAAGAAGCTTTTTTTTTTCTCTGTAAATAACGTTCTTCTAATTTAGACGAAATGGAGAAACATCTTCGCCTGTTGGCCGAGTTGACACCTGCATGGCTAACAGTTCATCCAATCAGGAAGGATATGTATCTAAAACTGAATAAGACCATGGATCTGAATATTGTGCTGGACAAACTGAACCAAAAGATGAAGGAAGAGGAGCTTATTTGAGGAAATTCAAATGAGACTTAAGGAAATACCATGTGCGATATTTTATGGATTACGCCTGGATTTTAACTTTTAGATGACACAATGACTTTTTAATTGTGTATGTTCAGTCAGTTTTGCATTTTACGAGACCATTTCAAATCTGGCGGTCACTACGTTTTTAACTGCTGTGTTTCCGTTGTATGAGGCTGCGATTTTGTTCTTTTGCATCTTGGCACAATAACTCTTCATAAATGTAGACATGTAAAACGTGATTGGTATAATGCAGTACAGTGTAGGCCTAAGTTTGGCATCTTTGGTAACTTCGACTTCATGGTTCATCTAGTTAACCAATGTGCATTGTAATTCATTTACAATAAACGAGTTCATGCAAGCAATATGTTGTTTCATATTCACAAACTGGAAGCTTAAGAGTCTGTACACAAGCTACCTCTGTAGCTGTATCTGAAATCACGTATTTTCCTACTGTACAGTAAGTGGAAAAACTAAGTGACAAGTGGTAGTCTGAATTCTGAGTATTCATAAAACAGTACCTGAGAGTATGTACTTCTGACAGGATTCTAAAGTGTGCATGCAATGAACATTTTACTATCCCATGAGGCCAAGGATTTAAGGCGGCAATGATTGAAGCAGCACTACTGAAGGTCACATGATGATGACAATTACATACTATATAGAACATGCTTTTTGTGAAGTTAATTGATTGCACCTACTCAGTATGCAATTCCGAATGCAGTCCGTCTCTTTCAGTTTCTAGTTATTTCTCATGGTGGAATTAAGACCATCAAAACTTCAAGGGTTAAGTGTTAATTTAAAACTAACCAGAATTTCTTCATTTTCCTGAACCGTAAACCATCATGTCACAGGGGTTAAAGCAAAAAAAAAATATTTTGACTGAAAATTTTTCCTCAGCCAAACCCGATTCCACAGCCATACCTATCACACACCCAGTTTAAGAGCAGTTTTTTCTTGTAATTAGGAGCGTTTGTCCTCCTAATTTAAAAAAATGTAGGAGCACCTTTTGATCAATAAATTCTGATCAAAAATTAACCTTCCTAATATGAGGTGACATTTGAATCAGTGATTTACAGGGGTATTTTCTGTTTACCTTTGTAATGGCATTTTTCTAATTTTATTAAATGTATGCAGTGTTTCCTAGGATTTTTTCCAGCTGTGGTGGCAGGACTATTTCTCATGGACCACGTCATACATTCACGTGGAGATTAATGTTTTAAATATAAAATTTTGAATACAGAAATATTAAATGATTTAAATAACTGAAATTATATGATAAAAATGAAACTAAATCTACCAGCAGGTGGCGGCAAGTCACTAATTTTATCACTGAATCATTCATTCAATTGATTTGTTCGAACGGCTGATTCATTCAGGAATGAAGCAAGTGACTGTCTTTATGAACTGACGGAAATCCGTTTATCACTGAATCATTCATTCAATTGATTTGTTCGAACGGCTGATTCATTCAGGAATGAAGCAAGTGACTGTCTTTATGAATGGGTAATCATGAATCACTGACTCACTAGATTCGTTCAAAAACGCACTTTCATTGAATGAATGAAACACAGCTGTGTTTGCTTTAGAGATGCGCAGGGCCGAGCTGTTACTATATTTGGAACTATTTTCGTTGAAGAAATAGAGCAAAACCAGGCAGTACTTGTTTATTGAACTGTTGTATTAAATAAATATCACATTTGCAAACTCCCTTAATGACTATTAAAAGTTGTCACTCTCCTTGTCGCGATCTGTGGGCGCACAGAAAATGAGAGCGCGCGAGTGAGTTCGCAACATAGACTGTATAAAAACATGGACGTAGTGTCCGTGACGTCACCCGTAGATTTCCGAAGAGCGTTTTTGAAGCTCAAAATTGGGCGGAGGCGGCCGTCGCCATCTTGGCAGCGCATCACCGCGCGTCACTCCCGGATAATCGAAAATGGGCAAAGAGGCGGGAGCAGGTTGCTGAAGCCACGCCCACCTAGCTCGACAGTGGTGACAGCAGCGGCAATCCACCTGTCACTCAAGTGGCCACGCCCTTAATTATGCAGAACTTTAAGGCTTAATATAATTTAAACGGATGAGTTATAAAAAAATTCACCCCCCTCACAGTTGTCAAGGGCAAAATTAGCTATATAGACCAAAATCATTTTTTGAACCAGGCTGTAAACATGTTTTTTTCTGCTGTAAATTTGGCCATTTTAACATGGGGAGTCTATGAGATTGACTCCCTTTTGCAGCCAGCCTCTAGCGGCCAGTTGATGAATTACAGTTTAAGTCACTTCCTTGTTGGCTTCACGAGAGAGAGCGGGAGGTTGCTGCTTGCTTCTCAAGACTCCAAAGCACGTGCAAATGATACGTTCCATCATCTGTCATCGTGTTATAAGCGCGGGACCTGCGGGATTAAGTAGAATTGTTATTAATAGCCGCAATCCTGCGCCGAAATTCAAGTTCTGCTCTGTGTTCTCTGCTAATAACCCAACTGTGAACGATGCGAGCGGCATCACACATCATGTTGTCAAGCTGCAGCCGTGGCGGGGATTATTTTTGGTGTGCCGCAACAACAACAACAATGCGCTACATGTTTCTTTTCCCCTCATTTTATCCAATTGACGGAAATCCGTTGTAGACTCGCTGCAATTAACGGAAATCCATCGTAGCAATGGAGAACTTTAATCCCTGATGTCAATAAGTAATTAATTTAAGACTGCTAAAGCCCGGGATACACTGCACGATTTTTGGCTGTCCCAGACGAAAGATTGCCATCGTGACGCAATCGTGGCGATTTCTGTGATCGTGGCTCTTAATCGCTGGTCCTATGTCGTACAGTGAGAGAGGTTCAAAGATGGGCTTTTTCCCGGTCTTGCGACCAAAGATAGCCTACGATAGTTTTCTGACAGTGTCAGAAATTCAGCATGATCAACGCACAGTGTGT